AACGCCTGAGAAGATCCAGATCCTCGAAAACCCTTAGAGCTCCCACATAACTCGAGTAAAAACCGGTCCATTTTCAACTTAAGCTTTATACTTTTAAGCGTGAAAATAATTATCGATTTCTTCTTTGGTCGCCCGACCCTATCCCCACCACTTCCTCGTAGAATAACGTCACGACTAGACCTTAAACTAACCGATGACGTCAGCACGGTGTCGTTTTTGCGGTTGTATCGATTTTCACAGATTGACCCCCCTGACTAAAAACGTGTTACTTATGTTAAAAATCCTTCTTTAGGGGAGGAAATGCTAGTTTTGTTTTCTGGTATTTTTCCACCCTAACATCTCAAGCCCGCATACACTCATCCCACGACCATGTTTTCCACATTCCTCTTCTATTTTGGATCAATTTGATACTATGTCGACGGTAATTTTTAGTTAGGTCGGTAATTTATTTAAACAAAACTTTTTTTTCTGAGAACTGTTTAATTTAACATAGTTCACATTATTTTTGTAGTACATAAACATGTTCGAACGACTGTGTGTTTGCGGCAGTGATTTTGTTTATATTAAACTTTGCATGTATAGAAGACAATTTATATTTATATGTACAGTATTACTCAGCAATAATTGTCCCTCCATTGTACTGCTTGTACAATAATTAGAACAAACGACGATGAAGTATGCTCTGTACACAATGATGCAATTATTTCGTTTTGCTTTGGTTTTATAAAATTGCTTATTAGACTTTTTTTTTTGTTTTGCAAGTATATTGTTTTTTTGCTTTTTATACAATTTTAAAATTCAAAATCTTTGACATTTCGAATTATCTCCACTTATATAACTATATATGATTATGCCTGAAATGTTTTCTATAATTAGATTTGGTTTATCAAATTGTATAGTGTCTACTCAGAATATTGTCATTTGCTTGTGTTTTATATTCACAAATGTTTATCAATTTTATCTAGTAATAAATCGAATTAAGGATGACACAATAACATTATTTTGACTCTAAATTTCACCGATGACATCATGTCTACAGATAATTATAAAATTTGTACGGCACAAATTTTGCTGTCACTTGACTGAATTTAATTTAATTTATTGTTTTGCGACCTTCGTGTGTTTAAATTAGTATCTTTTAAACAGACATTATACGTAAAAAAACAAACTAAGCCTACTTATTGCGTTTATTTTTGTATATTAAAGACAATTTTTAAAAATATATTTATTTATGTGTGTTTTATGCCATACCCGATAGCGGTATGCTTTGTAAGCCAACATATTTTAGAACGATTTAATATTAAACATCAAACTGGATCAATAATTGTTATATATTATCGTTAATAGAAGCTTCCCAAAAAAACAACAAAGCAAAACACTTTGAGTTAATTAACAGTTTTTTAATTATATATTTTTTAATCCAGTTAAAATAATAATTATGTAACAACAAAAGTGCTTTAGGGTGATTATGTATGATCAAATTAAATAAACTGTAAAACAAATGTGTTGGGCGCTATTTTGTTAACATTATTTTAATGTTAAAAAAATATTTTAGCACGTTGCCGAAAATCAATTGTGTAAAAACAATAAAGTATGTTAATGATATTAGTATGTAGTAAGTAATTATGTTAATGTACCTAATAGTAATAGTTGTTCTATCAAAACTGGTATTTTTCATTACAAGCCAATGCAAAATTTGATAATAAAAACATTCATGCCGAGTATAGTATAGTATAATAAAGATTGTAAATAATGTTTCCATCAAATGTTTGACAACCTGATTTCCCAAAAATTATGTCGTTAATGGAGTTATCTGATCGGATGTCTATACATGAGTTTGACGGCTTGTTTATTTCTATCTAATAAAAATAAAATGACTACTTAGAACGGTAGAAGACAAAAATTACATTAGTGTATACATTATAATATTGCACACGTGGCTTGAGGTGTTTATCGAATTGGAACACATAAATAATAATAGTAATAATAAAAACTTGGTATACCCAAGTGGAATTTGAATAAATTTTCATGTATTGGGTTTGATTTTTAAATTGGTAATGTTTTTTTTTTTTGAAAGACAAAACACCGCTTTGAATTTGAATAAATGCGGACAAATACATTATCATTGGCTGCCAACGAAGGGCATTGTTCGTTCTAGACTCGTTTTATTGATTTTTGTAATAAAAATGATCATTTCATCGAGTTTCGAACTCGAGTCCAAACCTGCAGAGGTCACTGCTGCATATCTAATATTATTACCGCTGACCAATATCTATCTTGGAAATTTCAATAATCGATAATAACAGAATTTTTAATTTTTTAATTCACGTGTTGCAATAGGTGCCGTATAATTTTTGCATTCGCTATTTATCCCAGTTTTTTGACATTTTCATGTCTTAGCTCTGGCACATAACCCTGGCAAATATCCGAAAAAAGCGTTACCAAAAGAGCGTAACGAAAAAAGCGTTACCACACGGAGATGAGGTTGGGGACGGGAGATAGGGGTGGGAAATAGGGGTGAGAATTAGCCGGTACATAACCGAAAAAAAGTGTTACCAAAAAAGCGTTACGCTGTTACGCGCCGCAAGGTACCAAAAACTACGAAGCGACGACGAAAGACAATTATCGGAAAGACCATTTTGGATCCATTTCGAATGTTAATCTGTTACGCTGTTATCTGATATGAGATAAGAGATATGTTGTACGTTCAACATTCAAATTAGAACTAAATAATAAATTCAAAATTGTTTAATTCTCTATGTTCAGTTACTTTTGGCCAAATAATAAACACTACAGTTTTAGCCAGAAACTTGATTGTACATAATTTTTTAATCTCCTTGCCTTATGCTGTATGAAAGCTCCATGTTATAATTTTTTTTTTAAATTATAATTCCACAGCTAATCTAAATGTATTCGGTACTTCAACGAGACATGAAAATGCTCTTTCGTGGTTGCAGACTCGGCTAAAAAACTTTTTTATTATACACTTTAAATCCACTCTATGCCGTTGGGTTGCACTTATACTTGTGCAGTTTCATAACCACAAAGTTCTATTGCAATGTAGGTTTGATGGCTTACATATTTTCTAAACGTTTCTCTGTTGGAAGAGACTTAACTTTGGGAAATACTCGAAAAGCTCTCTCGGGGTTCTCGGAAGTGTGTATAAACGTCTTTCTTCTTTTAAAAAATAAATATATATCTTAGATTAAATTTCCCGCATGAAAATATGTTATGAGTTTTAAGATGAGAATTTCCCTAAAATACAAGCAATACTAAAATGCATGGCTTTTGTAGTGTTTTTTTTTTTTGGAGCTAAAACGTGTACACACAATTTCAAGATATGTATTAAACGCTGAAGGAAAGAAGAAAAGCAAATAATTGTTGACTTTTTAATGTAAACTAGGTCTTGGGATATTTCATTTTTGTTTCAGCGAAGGCTTAGTTTTACAACGATTACGGTATAATGACAGTTACCGGAATTGCTGACAAAAACAACACACATATTTTATGTATTACGTTTCAATGAAATAACATCACCGCGCGTTTTGTTAACATTTTTAGGTCAAATAAAAAAAACACTGTGTGTGTGTATTGCTGATCGCGTTAGCTGAATTAACACTCTACACATATTAGGTATTATAATATAATGGTGTTCTAGTGTTTTTACTTTATGGTTTATTGGTTTGTTATAGGTGTCATAACAAGTGGAAACGTTCCAATAAACATAATATAAACCAACTAAGAAAAAATAATATTATATACGGTTGCTCAACACCACCAGACTACTGTCGAGTGGGAAATAATTATGTATTATCTTCTTCTTCAGTAGTATTATCGATATCGGTACACTTGACACGTCATAAGCTTGCGCTAAGGGTAAAAAAAACTGTTTACACTTCGGTTTTCGAGGTAAAATTTTAGATAAAATTTTTTTGAAAGAAAAGCTGTTATCTCATTAATAATTCTGTTCTGTGACAGTTGGGGAGAAAAAACCCAGTGGAAACCGTTGATTGTCCCTTTATGGGAATCGGCGAAGGGTCTCCCGCCGACTGGGTGTAATGTGCTCTCATACGCGTAGTTCCTACTGAATCATATAATAACCCGTTGAACGTTGTCGCAGTAAGCGCGTGCGGAGCCCGGCACAGTAAACCATAATGTAATATGACGTGTATCGGGTTACCGCGGGTCGGCCGAAACCGGGTCATCGGGTTTTATCGCGGGCCCGTTCTACCGGCGGTGCACAGTTGTTGCCCTCCGAAAATTCACACAGTTCTCCGGGCCAGCGGTCGTCGTCCCGCCCGGATTTTTGACCAACCCGCGACTCGTTTACTTACTTACCGATTTTCGTCGAAAATCACATTGTCCAGAGACACAAGCGCCAGCTTAATCTCGACCGCGGCGACTACGCGATAGGTAGCAATAGGTGCGTTAATATAATATTCTATTGCGTTGGAAATAATATCGCAGTGTTTCCATTCGATACACACATTGGTATGATGATAATAATATATTATATGGAATATAATATTATGTATGTAGCGTCGGTATAACTCATTGGTACTATACAAAAGCGGTACATACGGTTTTTTTGTTCTGTTATTATTTTTAGTCTCTTCTCCACAACTCGAGTCTCTATATATATAATATTAAAAATAATAACAATATCAATAGTACTACGTATAAAATAATAATCTTGGTATTATCATACGAGTTGCCCGTCGCGGTAGCTAAACAAAAGATTTATATATACAACATATTATACCTATAACTATAATATATTGTAATGTATTATTATTATTATTATTTTCTTTCGGTCGTGTCGAGAGTGAGAGAGAGAGAGAAGGGAGCGACAAAAAAAATAACGTGCGCGAGTCAATTAGTTCTGGCGGTGTTGCCACGTTTTCAATGTTTTTCGGCGCGCCCGAACCGGCAACACTGCACGGGAAAAACCTCTGACCGCCGGCGCCTGTGCGTGTGCGCGCTCACGAGGGAGCCGGAGCCCCGTCCGGCGTCCACCAGTCGTCGCTTCGCAGTGTACGTTGGTTGTCTTGTGTTTACTATACGCGTTCATTCACTTTTACCTCTTGCCGCTGTTTTGTTGTTGTTGTGACTCGTGAAAATACATATATATATATTTATATTATCGTCGCACGTTTCGCGGTTGACGATAAAAAAAAAAAATTCGTTACTTTGTCGCAGGACGCGATATTTTTATAATTCGTAATCGGCCTTTATCGCACGCGGTCGTCCGTTACTACCTAGCTATGATGTTATACCATAAATAATAATAATAATAGCATCATCATCATATACGGGTGTAATAATAATAATAATAATTACATGTAACGCGCGTGCGGTAGCCGTGTAAATAAATAATAACAACTGGTAGCCGCCGCCGGACATTTCGAATCGACCTAGTAGTGCTCGGGTGTGTGTAAACTGTAAAGAAAAAACTGTTAACGAATCGCGTGCATCGGAGGAATAGGCCCAAAAGCAGAAGGATCCTTGTGTTTTTGGTGAGTTTGTCAATTATTTTTTTTGAAGAAAAAAATAGGGTTAACTAAATTTACCGAGTGCGACCCCTCCCCCCAATAGACCACTTGAGTCCATGCGGATATTACCGATCAATACACCCCGTGTCGTGTCCTAGATTTTCTTGTTGACGTTGTTGTTGTTAATATTTTCGAGATAACCACATTTGACGGTCTTGGTATGTTCACCACCCTAAACGCGGCCGCGCTCCTGTACCGCCGCCGCCGCCGCATACCATTGCAAACCGCACAAGAAGGTAAGTAGTCAAGGCAACACCCACGCTTTTCGGAAAGGCTCCCTTCGCCGGAACCGTCGGCCTGCACCCCCCGCCGTTGGCCGATCGAATCGAGGGACGACACTGGTTGTTACTTCCTATTTCCTTAGCCCAGACGATTCCCAGTTCTCTCCAGACAGTTTTATGTTTGATGACACAATAAACGTACAGCCGTTGTTTTTAGTTGGCCTAACTGTTTATAGTTGGCTTGTTCCGGCTATATTTTAAATGAGGCACAAAATCAGCTATTCAATTTTTGAAAATTATCTCAAAACAACAAATAATTTCTTTAAGATAAAACCTACCAAGTTTTCCAAACTAACACAGTTTGAATTAGTTATATTCTTTATTCAACAACAGTTTTACATAACATGTAATACATTGTGGTCACTTAAAAAATAAACGCGTTGTCAAAATGTCTTAGGGCTGGTTTTGAAACCAGATGCCTAAATTGTCCATTCCCTTATTTAACATATTAGTAGTTTTGTTGACCGGCTGCGCACAGACATAAATAATAACAACAAATATCGTTGAGAAATTTCCCTATACTCGCGTTTGGACTACCTCCTCGGGTCGTGGGTGAACAGTAGCTATTTTCGGTCGGTGTCTTGTGTTCTATTTGTTGCGGAAGCAGCACGGCCTGTGACCACTTGGGCATCGTCCAATTAAGAAAAATAAAACATAAAAACCGTGTGCGTTCAGGCTCGTTAATTATCATTTTTCCGAGAAAACCGGTCAGTGTGCATTTTTGCGTTCAATCCAAATCTAGGCAGCTTTATTATTATATTGTGTATTTTCGTTGTGTAACGTTACACAACAATATTTTCCTTAAGCTCTTCCGTTCGCGCATTATCGTACAATTTTTTTGATAATCGTTTCATTAGCGCGCGCGTTCCGGGTTTGACAAGAAAATGCCGTGTCATTGGATTTTTATTGGACGATTCTTTATGACATCACAAAACGCTGTTAAGACGTTATTGATCATAACTAGACATGTCCCTCGACGCTGTAAAAAAAACCACAACGTTAAGCTCTATTGTCTACTATGATATTAGATGGGATAAAGTCGGTTGAATAGCTAACCGGATCCGGTGCATATAACAAGTAACCATGTGCGGTTAGGTGTGTTAAAAGAGAACGGTTGAATAACGTCGGACGTTTGGTGGGCGGAGGATAAGTTACTAATGACATTTCCTGAAAGGGAAAAAAAGGTGATTCTTCATCCTTTCTGGTACATCTTTACCTCGTGTAACATTGAAGAAAACCAACCTACCGTTCGTTTTTGGGAATGGTTTTTAACCGGGCAGTATTAACTTATGTTCGACGCCAAGACAGCAGTGTGATATTTGTTCTATTCGATTATCTACGATTTGTGTTTGCCAACGTTAAACAACACACCTGTGTTTCTCCACCATTTTGTTAAGTGTGTTGTTAATTAACTATTAAAACACACGTGAGCCTTAATTCTGGGTTAATATACACGTTTTAACCAAACACTTGAAATTCGTAACACTCCTAGCCACGAAATTCGGTTGTACAAATCGAAACTAAAATTAGAAACCCGTTCTTTTTTATCGACGATGAATCATATTCCTATATAATAAATGATTAACCAAAATAGTGTATATATAACAGCTAAAGGCAGTAATTGTGTATCGTTGGGGATTATTCAGTACAAACTTATTTTTCTTTTAAAAGTGTTGTCTTACATATACATTACACGGCGTTTGCTTTTGTTTGCTTGGCATTGAAACGTTTAACGTTTTTTTTCATTCTGTTGAATATTTTGTGAGTTTGACTAAAATTTTAAGGTATTTAAGAAATCTATATAAAAACTGTTTTGTTTCAACAACCACACGCCATGCGTTGGTATTGAATTGCCAAAAATGTGTAAAAAAAATTTTTCCCCGCTCGTTAGTGTGTTGAAAAATAACAATAATCACAATTAGTATAGACACACACAATAAAATAGCTCCAGTTGCTGCCAGCGCCTTGGCCCGTGATGACTGTCGCCTTTTGTATCTACAATATTATCATCTTCTCCATTTTTACTCCCCCGTCATTTATAGCACACGTGTGTCCATGCCTTGACACCGATTCGGCGTACTCAAATAGCTTTAAACCATCTTAGGTTTTCTTTTTAAACATTTTTAAGACCAGCAAATCCATAAGGCGCGTTACAATGTGTTTCACTTAATAAAACACTTTAACGCCGATTTAGAATTATTAAAATGCCTACATAAATAATAAACGCTGTTTTTGGAATTTAATTTATCCAAAAGCTTTTTCTAATAATCGCCGGTCTATATAAGTCCCCCTCTACAATGTAGGTCAACTACACCCGCATGTGTATTATAGATATATATTTTATAATGTATATATATATATATACATGTATGTACATATATATATATATATGTTTTGGGATGTGCTAGTCGACTTAATGTCGTCATACATATTTCTGAGCTTGCGTAATGCGATATCTTATGTTGTTGTGGTGGAGGTAGTGGACAAAATAAATGTAAACAAACGGCGTGGCGCCTCGGGTTGATGTCTTCGCGCTATATATTGATAAGTCGATTTTTATGTATAAAACAAAAATCGTTTTTAGACGGCTATAATATAACTACTGCACTAAAAGCAAAACCCGTTTTAGGAATCACTTCGGTAGGTATGTGTGTGTTTTTTGTCCACTAAATATTTCAATGAAGAATGTGCTACATCGCGGCGGCGGCGGAAACCCCTACCACTGTCTCGCGGTATCTAAAGAGGTGTACAGTCTTTCAGTCAAATCTTATGACAATAACAGAGTATGTCGAAGCCAGTAGGTCATAGGGTTTACTGGCGTGCGACCAAAACGATAAATCCGCTGGTTGTTACCGTTTTGGATCAATAATTCGTCCCCGTATCTATCTATTGAAATGTATCTAAAATTTAACCGTAATTATTATAGTTTGGTGTTCTCTCTCGCACCTACCCGCGTTCCACTAATTGTACATACTTTATATGCGCGGTGCTCGTTCGTCCCCTTCATAATATATTTTTTTTTTTTTGACAATGGGAGGAAGTAAGGAAAACCATTAGTAGAGAGTTACGTGCTCTGTAAAACAAACCCCAACCGGAGAAGGAAAAAGAAACAGTGGGACCACGGTGGTAGCGCTAAGGTGGCAACGACGGAGCATTGGTGGTAATATACCCCAAGGCAAACGGAATCCCCTTTTTTTTCTGTCAAGCCATCTGGCTGCTCGTTTCTACGAATAAACAAAATGCATTTCTTGTCGACATGTGTGCTGCCCGGATTGGACCGAACATGTTTATTCTCCACTACACTATAGTGGTGTTCTTAATCAGATAAACCCTTTTAAAAAATCTAGTCCTTGTTTCAACCCAACTCGAGTGTCCTGTATTGTATTTATACTGACTCGATTGTTGTATGTATTTGAACGCCCAACGTGTGTAAACCCTTTTTACGATTATGATTTGTTGTGTACTTATATCTTGTGTATGATCCGCGATAGTGTACGGCACACGGCGATTTCTACTGGCAATCCGGGCGTACTCTCTCTTTCTGTTCCCGGGGATCGAGCCCGTTCCTAAGTAGGTCAACGTCACTGCCTCTTAAAGCTGCCGTTTGTGGCACTTGCCGAATAATTGCCCTTGGCGTTCAACTCATCGGTCGTTTCCGTCGCGTGTATATCGATTTTTTAATGCAGTACACTCATATACAATAATATAAGACTACACCGCACTATAACGTTTGTACTCGGTACGAGATACCGTGCAGTGAGTGTATTGAGGTCAATGACTATAAATGACAAAATAAAAAAACAGTTTTAGCGGCAAAAAAAAAAAAACAATTATTAGCGTTGCGCAAAATGTAAACAGTGACAACCGGTGTCGTGTCATCAACTATATTATAATGTTGTATACATTTATTATATATTTTTAACTTAATGTGATAAAAACCGATTGTTGTGTACGTTTGAAAAGTGTAGCGTTGGCCCTTAATTTTTTTTTTTTTTGAAATTCAGGGGTTACTAAAAAACAAAACAAAATGTTTCAATTAATTTTTTTTACCCAGTTTGATTTGTCGGCCGTGTTCTCCGTTGCACAATCTCCTCCTCCTCCTCGTCGTCGTCACCGTTGTGAAATTGTTTGACGAACCAACTCGGCCGTTGTTTTCGCTTTCACGAGACGTTTCATTCGCTTTCGCGGTTTTTTCCTTCACTCCTCTCTGTGGTCTTTGCTTTCTATGCCGACACGTCCTCCGCGAAGGCCGGCACCACCACCATGACAATAAACAAAAAACGCCAACAAAAATTACCGCGTCCGCAAATTAAAAAAAAAACGGCCGACACGAGTATTAATAAAACGATACACGATGGTAGTAATCGTTTCCACGTGCCCAACACACACGGTGGTGTTTGTGGTCGTTATCAGTCCTTGACATTAAGACATGCTGGATTTTTCTCATTCGGCGAAACACAGCGCCCATTTTGGTCTTTTCTTTATTCCACCCCGTCAACGATACGTGCCATGTGGTAGTCCCACGTGCACGGACGGTATATTATTTTATTCTGTTCAGGGTGGTGGTGTAACGATATGTGCATAGAGGGTGGATGAACCCTAGAGGCACAGACCGACGACGACCCATACATGTATATAACCCCGACAGGGGTGTACAGCTGACGAGCGGAGGTTTTGCAGATGCCCCTGTACACAGGAAGATCTAATACCGAATTGTGGGATCGTTTTTAGTTTCTTGAACCGATTTCTCGTAAAACGAATACAAAAAAAAACAGGCTTATCCATTCTGCAACGACCGCCCACTATATAATACTAACCTTTTCACCTACCTACACGTTTTGTTCGGTGTTGCGTGCGAGGATATTATGAGGAGGCCTATTTTGGGACTTGTCCGTAAACCACTTATTCGAGACCGATTCCACAATCCCACGATATTATTTTTTTGGCTAATACGAAACACATTTTTGCCGCCTCGAGTCTAATAAATAAGTCTAATTTACATTGTGCACTCGATACACGTTATCTGAATGTAACAATAATAACAAATTACTGTCAGGTACAAAAAATCTATGATAAACGACCATAATATTATTATGGTCATTTATCATATTATACAGTTTGCAATAAAATCAAAAGTACCAACGGCGTCAGACCAATGGTAATAATTAGTTATTTACTAAGACCTAAGGCTGAAAGAGTAATTTAGGGGGTTTCGTCCTTTGCGTTGGCAAACCTGAATGGTTGTAGAACACCGGCGCCGTGCTATGCTGGGTGGTTGTTTACAATGGTCTTGAAATGTAAAACGAATTAATTTTTAATATATTACCGATTATCTTGTATATTATGTACATATGAATACTTGATATTTCAATACTATTTCAATGGGCTACAAAATGTAAATAACATTGGTAGGTACGATACATATTGTTGTTAATGTTTGGATTTTGGTTTTAATAAACATGTCTGTATCATAACCGAATCGACTAAGTGTCAACTTTGAATCCCTAGACAACCGGCGTTTGTATATAATTAGATTGTATTTGGGTCAGTAAACTCATTTTTGTGGAGCGTTTTGAATGTCCGACTGTATTCTTTAAATAATGCTAGCCAAACAGGCTGGCATTATTTATGCTGTCCATCTAATTCTTACACACCTATATAATATCTAATTACATGGCATGTTATTTGAAACATTTGAAACGCCATTGGTATTTAATGGACTTTGGCTGCCCCTGTATTAATTTAAATTTCTAAAAAAAAAACCCAAAATATTCGATTTATAAGGTTTTTGGAATTTTATAAGGATTCAATTACATTTGACTGAAAACATTTTATTTGTAAATATATTTATTATAACTTGTTTTGTAGTCTTTATACATATATTTATTTGTATACTTTGAACTAGTGGTCGAAGGAAAATAATTATTATTAAATTAATAAAATACTTAAATTGAATAGTGTGGTGCCGATTTGATATTTTCAATGCATTTTTTTTACTAGCATATTGAAAATTATATTTACCTTTTTTTATTTCAGAAAGCCACGGATCCAATTTCGTTGTTTACCGCCGTTTTTGTAATGTTTCACTTATTGTTGTGTATTATACATTTATATTTTTACAACCCCATTGTGCGTGCTATTCGGAGGAATCGAACAAAAGGCGTTGTAGAATTAATAATATTGTAGGTGGGTATCATTTGTCGATGCAATATTTTCTATTTGAAATCAATTTTAACCAACTATATAATGATCACAATGAGAAGGCAGACAACGTGTATTATTATACAAAAGGCCAATAATGAAACGACTGGTAATCTAATCGAATTGCAGTTCCGGTCATTGGCCCGGAAATCGGAACTCGGCATTTTTCGATCAGATCACACATTCATGTACGCTTGCCGTAGAACGAATTGGCTTTTTGTCACCGGGCTAGTTATTGTGGCAAGTCAATTGCCCCGAAATTCGGCGAATTCGATTTTTAACTGTATTCATAATAATATTGTTACTATAATACATACACACGGTTAGTCCCCACGGCCAGCGCGCGACAGAGACCGAAATTCACAATTGGTTTTCTCATCCCGGCTTTACCCACCCTCCTCCTGCCTGCCATACCTTTACTGCAAACATCTACCGCAGTTGTACGTGACTGGTGGAATAATAATCCCTTTGGTACTATCAGAATCTAGCATTTTATTTAATTCAAAATTGCTTAGAATGTATAATATTATTATTTCGTGTATTATACTATTATATTTTTAGTCGTTTCTTCTAGTTGTGTGCGACGGTCGCCATCCTCTTTGTATGGGTTTATTTTTTTATTAATCCATATATGAATAGACAAACAGGCAGAAATGTTTATTTTTCTACGACGATCGATAAAGAAATATAATGTAAATCAATGATTACCGAATTATGTTTGACCTTGCTCCTACCGGTGACGAAAATGTCAATATTGTTACAATAATAATCTTATATCTCGAGTGTTCACGGTTGTGGTTGATTTTAATTTTCATATTTAAATTTAGAGACACCTTGTAATGGTAGTTTTTGAACATCTAAAATATAGAAGACCATTATCATCATCAGGTCACAAATGATGCGCTATAACGAACCCGGTTCATTCTCTAAGAGTTTTTATTGCTGTTTTTTATTGAAAACCTACCTATTTCTTTTTAAGCGAGTCGCGCCATTTTGATTTTACCTATTAATGTGTTTTTTCCCATAAAATGTATTATTAACATAATGGTTTTTTGTTAATGTAACGCTGCTAAACCGGCATTTTTTATTAGGCAAATTATTTTAAAGTTCTCAGTTTACCGTGTTTAAGCCTTAACCTCGAGCCAGTCTATTATATTTTGTTCTTTGAATACTTTGGCGTTAAAAGTGTTGGTTCAAACAGCCTTACATTTGTGGTGCTGATAATAAAATGGTAATAATTGGAAACGATTTTAATGTTAGTCGTGGCAAAGATAGGTAATCTTGAGTTAGTTTGAATGCGCTGCTGTATGTAACATAGCAATACGAAGGCGGATGATAATAATCGGGAGACGTCTAGAATACCTACCGATGATTTCTGTTTTTGATAAACTAATGCGAAATTTCACTTTTCAGTGGCTATCACTCAACTGTTATTGTAATTGTTCGGCAAGAACGTGCATATCGTGATTACCACCACCGTGTACACCAAACGTGAAAGCTGTGTACTTGCGGTGCGACCGCCCATCGTGTCTCGCGGTATAATAACGTCTTAAGTCGAATTTGCCCGAGTAGGTATAACATAATATTATTGTATTATTGTAGCGTTGGCCTCGAGCCGTTGTAGGCGGTTGGTCGGTGGTTAGTGTAATATTATATTATGTAAATTAATTTTCCAGGTAACTTTTTTTTCGTACGGCCGCCATGTCGCCTATAATAACTTAAGAGGTAGATAGGTACATGATACAGAATGATACATTATTATGTGCGCGAGAGGGGCGTCGGTGAAGGACGACACCGGTAAAAAACAACTGGCCAAGGCCGTCGTCGTCGATCTCTGGTGCGGCGAGAACTTGGATGGATTGATGATGATAATGATAATAATAATAATATCGTGTGCGTATCTTGATCCCCGAAGGTTGTGGGAGAACAGTCGGCCGCGCATACACAATGGCGTTATCGCGTTTTCTATAGTCACGAAGCACACGCTTTATTCGAATAGTGTGTGCATTGTGCGCCGCCGGGGTGGAGGTAAAAACCGTAGTGAGAGGGAGAGAGTGCTGTATGCGATGAAGGGAAGGTACCGTCGTGTGTACCTATAACAACAACAGCAGCAACGGCTACAGGTACAGGCATAAAAATATGGGGGGCGTGCGAGTAAAAAAAGTAGATTTGATTTTTTTTTTTTTTGGACGAGAGAATGCCAACGTTGATACATTATTATTATTATATTATCATCATCGTCGTCGATTGTTGTGTATGTGTGTAACTACTGCGTTCCGGACACTCGGTGAATTTATTAATATATAAGAACTGGACGAAAAGTGTCCTTGAACATTTTTTTTTTAGAGAGTAGCAACGGCTCCGTTCACCTTCACTCGGAAACTTTCGGGTCCTATTATAATATTATATTATATACCCGTGTAGGTATGTGCTCGAAACGGATTGACCGGAATAACAATAATTAATAATAATTGCTCGTCCAATTCAATCTCTCCTACCACCGCGCCATGGTAAACCATATTGGTAGTATTACCATAAAGAATCCACCAAAAAATATTATAATCGCAAACCTATATGAAAAAAAGAAAAGAAAAGCGACTTAGACGCGTACCGTCGTATTCAGTCGTTCGACGATAATTATAAATAGTAGGTTGAGTAGGCCAAAAAAAAATTAAACTATGTCACACAATGACAATAAAGATCTACCGACGCTCTACAATATGTCGTGTGTAAACATTTAGTTTTATACTGTTATTATGTGTTCGAGCTCAAATTCACTAATACATATATCTGTGTAATAGTTTTTATTCTTCATTATTATTGTTTTCGCTTTGGCGAATCGAGATGGAAAAACAAAAACGTGTATCGTGTAGCTCAAAAGACACTTGTAAATTAAAAAATATGCTGGTTGTTCTGATTTTCTTAATCGGCTTTCTAACACCAAAAGCAGTCGAGGTTACCCCCCCCCCTTCCCCTCTTATAATTTTATTTCACTCTTCGTTTTACTTTCTTTTCTTCGTCGCGAGCCGCCGCCTGACATTGAAAATAATAATATAACCATTATAAATGTAATTATTTAAATTATTGGCTAGTTGTTGCTATCAACTGCAGGTAATTAATAAACATGTTTTCCTCGCATAATTGAATTATTATACTCGTTATCGAACTAAAGAGACGACGGCGTAAGACGATGTTGTTAGTCGACAAGTGGGGCCGGTCGGTCGGTTCAAATTTAGTAATACATTTATTTAGCATACCGTGTCCACACCTTATTAATTAATATTAATGCATATAATATGCGATGACTAATGAGTAATGAATTATGAATTTTTCCAACGCATATAAACAAAAAAATAATCTGAAAGCACTTGTCAATATTTATGAACAAACGTTATTTGGCAAAACGGAAAATAAATAAATAAATAATTTTAATTATTGGGCGTTTAGTTGAGATACCATTTATATTAATAAATCTGTTTAACATATTTGTTTATCTAGACAAAAGAACTGTTTACGTTGGTGCTTCACAGAAGTCGATTAGATGAAATCACGTTTATATATAAAATAATAATTAATATATATACCCATTATTGTTAAAAACTTTTAGAGATTCTTAATCTCGGGCGGCTCGACCTTAGTGCTCGAGATAACCTTTCGGCATATTATTTATTGTTACCACATCTCGGTCAAAGTTTTCTGATGAAGTTTTATTTTTTTTCTAGTTCTTTGTATATATTTTGTGCGGCGGCTACGTGTGGTCGGGTAACGGGTGACTTGTAGATACAGGGATGCTGATTTTAGAATAATATAATGCCAAGTACGCGCGACCTTGCCTTTGGTGTGCGGTATTTGCACCGCCGCCTTCCTCTACCTTCCTTTTTCTTCCGTATCAGAGCGCGGTGGGGCTTCGGCTTGCAAAAGGTTTCCGTTTCGGCATTTCGCAACGGTTTAATGTCACGCGACGTCCGTCTTAAAATAGCAGCGCTAACATATACTTGACTAGAATAATTGCGAAACAAACGGCGGTATTCAATGGAGTAGTCTCACACATTGGTCGGTCCACGACTAGACGGCAATATAGATAGTAGTGCTGGTAGTGGTAAATGCAGTTGTTGTAGTAGTGTAAATCGTTGGCGTTAAGTCTTGTTGTGTGATTGAATAAGCGACTGACTTGTACGCAACGAACCGTCGACGCCGACCATAACCTTGGACAATGACAGGCGGCGGTCGCCCTATGCACCGCCATTCGCCGTTGTAGTACCACAGTCTTCCCCTCCAAAACCCGTTTTCACCGTACAGACTGCATGTTGTTTTTTATTAGTTGGGTCGTTTCGTTTTTTTATTCTCAACGCCATTTTATTACCGACCCGTTCACTTAAACGCTGGTAAAACAATCGGCTTGTGTGCATCAAGTCGGACAATTTCTTCGCTCACTGATGGCCTAACCTAACCGTTCCTTGCCAAAGGCGGTTTTCCCATTAGATTTTTCGTTTCAACAAGCAGTTTTCCAATAACTAACGTCCAATTAAACTTTTAAATCTAGTCTCTTTTTTCGTAGTTGTTAATTATTTAAAAATTACAAAAACAAAATATTGGAAAATTGATAAAAACTTGTTTTTGTTGTAATATTGATGTCAGGTTTTGTTTTTAATGTTCTTACAAAATTATTAAGACATAAATTTAATAAAAACTTTAATATCAAAAATATGTCGCCAGACGAGTTACTAATTGTTTTTAATTGTATTATTTTTAGTCTATGTTTAAAATGTTGAATAATATTTTAAATATTATTACTTTATAAAGCATGCTCGCTGTTACGTTTATTTATTTTTCTCTTAAAACGGATTATGCATTCAATATTAATATAATTAAGACAAAAAAATAATATACATATTATCTATGTATCTACTGTAATAAGCCAGCATGAAAAAAAACATGGGAAAGTTCATAATGGAATATCGTGGCAACCGTGTGTATATATTTATCGAGCCTAATTAATTAATCTAGTACCGTTAATACAGTTTTTTTTCTATCAAATAACTACTCTATTTATTTTATTCCCTTCCTGAACAGAAACTGGAGGTCCGCTCAGGCCTCTACAAAAAAAAAAGCGGTTCGTCATTACACGGTGTACTTTACTTTTGGTTTTGTTTTTGTTCTCCAAAACAGACGCACTAGGCTTGGAGGCATACCTTTAATTTTACCGTTTAAAGGTGGTGCGATGCCGTCCTGCCGCCTCACAGTTGAGTCAATATTGATTCATTTGGTTCACCTAAAAACGAAATAATCTATGAGCGTTGTCGTGTGTTTGTCTGGGCAAACATTTTTGTTGAATACTAAAAAAAAGATTAGGTAGGACTATATATTGTAGCTGCTGTCGTGGTTACGACCCGACTTATACACAACCTCTCGACTTTTTTTTTTGGTTCTGACTACACACACATATTATACACATCTACATAATTTGTTGGTCGAAACGGTGTATCCGGGCTCATTGTACTGGGGCAGGGAGCGCTATTATAAGCCGTGTTGTCTCCCACAGACGGATCAAACCACTAACGAAGCAATCCAAACCTCATTTCCTAAATTCTCCGGCCGAAAAATCAAATTTCACAAATACCGAGCATAACCGAACTTTGGTTATCCCACGCCCACCGGAAATGGCGTTTTAAAAATAACAAAAATTATTATATTACAACACCCGAACGCGTGTGCTGTGTGTATTTTATAATAAGCTGTTGCCTTGCCGTTATAAGCGCCGCGTGTAACCAAAAAAAAATGTTTTACTTAAAATGTTCTCAGCCTTGTATAATTCAAAAGGTGGAAATTTAAATGATTAATTATTTACATAAGCAACTACGCCGGACTCGTATTTTATTTAAATATTTCGAAAAAAATACTGCTCCGGTCGTTGACACCTGATGATTGTTGGTTTATTATAGCAAACCAACAATCCGTCTATAAAAAAAATATTCATGTTCTAATATAAAATTTAAATGAAAAAAAAAAGTAATAACGAATGTCTAATGATTAATGTTGCAATTAACAAGGGCAGTATTTAAAAAATATAAAACACATTCAGTCCATTGGCCAAACGTATTTCCTGTGGTAACACAGTATTTGAAACGCTCATTAAAATGTTTTAAAAGGTTATTCAAAACATAAAAGGTGTGAGGAGTATGTAAACAATTAATTATACTATGCGCTAAACACTACTTAAAAATATTTAGATCTTAAGAATTGCTCTGTTGTACTATGTTGCAATCGGATAAAAACAATTTGATATTTTTAGAAAATTATTTAACAGCTTTTGGCGGCATACACACTCGAGACATAATAAAAATATTGTGAGACGAAAGGTGTAAATTATATATTTGCATAGACAAAACAACGACTGCATATTGTGACGTTTGTTGCACTCGATGCTATTTGCATTTGTACTTATAAATATATAAATTGCCGTGAACACACTGTCTAGTTGTCATTACGGAAATGCATTGTTTATGAACATAATATTATGTACCTATACATGTGTTGTGCGGGTTATTGTCTTGCGATAAAATGGTTTGCATATTTTCTTAAAATCTGAAAACTTGCCGGCATTATAAGAGAGATCGGTATTAACATTATTGGGATTGTTTTAGCTGCTGGTGTGTGCTTTGTTTGAACCGGGCTCGTATAGTAGTTGTTACCCGACAACCCCTAGATGTCATTGGCGAAATCTTATTGAATTATCATTAATGTCTTTTTAGTCGACTGAGAGAAGAAAGGAGGAGACCCGTTTGACACCCGGTCTGGTACTGACAATGACATTTGGTTCATTGATCGGTACAGTGCACGTTGACAACAATGTATAATTGGTAGACGGCGTTGTCGTCGCCGTCTTCAACGTCGGTAGCTTTTTTGTTAACTTTTCACATCCCGTTTTCATTTGTTTCTGACCCTCAAGGGATTTGGTTTGTACTATTTTTAGAGACTGTCCTGGTCTGTGCAGACGACGTCGTACCTGCTGGCAGACACGCCTGACTATAATAGTGGATCGATACGATATTACTAGTAATATTATTATTATTTTTATTTCTGCTATACAACGCTTTGAGAAAAAGGGCGGGAGAGAGAACTCGTGGGGTGTTAATAATAACGTTTTGTTGGACGGCGGCATAAAGCTCATGCGCTGTTCGGTCTAGGGCGGACAAACGACGAATTTGCATTTGTTTTCCTTGTTGTGTGTATGAGTAGTATATGATGTATTATGTGAGTGTGTGGCGACAACAATACTGCAACGCAAAACTGCATGCCGTTTAACCCAGGTCAGTGACGATGACACGGTGAATTTGGCACTTTCCATTGTCACGCCAACCGAGACCCCTGTACACCGATTAATATTTTTTTTCTCAGATATTGTGCAGTTGACGTTTTCCCGAACCTTCAATATTACCTATAGTGTTGTCATTCGTTTCCTATTTAATTCAGTCAAAATCTTTAAACCGTCGGTCGTGTCAGCCTCATACAGCAGTTGTTGATCATTCCGTATACCTAGTTAAAAAATATATAAATTATTAATAACGCTCTAAACTGTTGTAATAATATTATGTCGACGCCGACATGTTACACCAAGGGCGCCTGCAGTAGAGGATATTGTGTTCGGGGTGGAAAGAGGAGAAACATACATAATTTATAAAGAGCAAGAAATAATAATAATAAAAAAAACCGGCTCCGACGTCTCGAAATGATGTATTCTTTGTAAATATGTAAACTTCTGCATCCAATTACAACGTGGAATAAATAATATTATCTCGTATGAATCGCGCATTCGTTAAACATCCAATGACCAATTTTTACACGATTATGGCTCGAACTTCTTTATATTATAATGAAGACGGTCCGTAATTCGTTTGTTGCCCTATTGGCACAAATATTGTGTTAAAATCGGGTCGTCTAAAAAAGATTTGGCAAACGACAGTAGTACAGGATGTTATATGCATCGAATCTGATGGTCCTTGATTTTAATGGAATAAAAAAAAAAAAAATACTGACTACTCTTCTTGACGTCATTACCAATCTTTACTATTCAGTATCCCCTATCAGGCTATCCGACAAACGGCGTACGGAAGTTTAAAAGCAATACTCGAAGCACAAAGCTTGTTTACAGATGATTATTTTCCATGTTCTTGCAGTATGTAATGGTATAATATGCTTTTCTACCTCGTCGCCACCGCAATAAGTAGACGTATGATAGGGCAGGGTTCGCAGGACGCTCTTTAATAAACACGTGCGGGGCAAAATGTGCTTTTTTATATCTCTCCCTCCGATTGTTGTTCGGTTAACGTCATCTTTCATTATGACAAATTATTAACAGCCGAATGGCCAAAATCTTTGGAAAACCTTTGCCCCCCCCTCTCATCTCCAACCGCAGATGATGAATTATTGCTATGCTGAACAAGCGTTGGCGAGTCGACTCGGATTTCAATCGCATACCGGTAGCAGCATAGTAGTACAAAATGGAAGATATGCTGATAATAATAATAATAATTGTTGTAATTTCATTCATGAAACGTGTCGGGCTTCAATGGAGAGAAGTTTTAACCCGAAACCGCTCCTAACCCTTCTTCGAATGTCCGTCACTACTATTACTATTATGAATGTATAAAATAATAATATAATGTGTAATATAATATTGTGATTATCTGACATTTTTGTCGTTAATCTCTCTCTCTCTCGCTGTATTGTTTACTAATCGAGCATTGTTTTTTTGTTTGTTTCAGGTATGTTGACAATATTATACAATTAATAATATAAGAAAAACAAAAGTTGTTATCGAATCGAAACCGGTACAACACCACGAATAGTGACCGACGGCAATAATAATAATATTATAAAACATAAATTTTTTACTGCACTGCTAGTCTGGCATTGTATAGTTTTCGGTGAGTAAAAGTGTATACGACCATTTTAGGTCGTTACGGCCGTCGTGTAAATTATTATTTACCTATACCATGTTTATATATTATGCATTTTTTTTTTGTCCTGTCTGAGGGAAAAAATGTATAATAACCCAAGAAACGTGTGACGGGCGTTGCATAATTTAGTTTCGGTAACATTATTATTACTATTACTATACATTGTTATATGGGTTTTGTCGAAGAGAGGACGTTTTTCTGTTTTTCGTTTTAAAAAGAAAAGAAAAATAAGTAAACGTCTCGTGTACGACTAAGACACTTGCGTTCTATTGTTCTTGTTTGTTCCAGTCGGCTCGTGTACTACGTGTACAGGGAAGTCAATCGTTCGTCGTTCGATTCGCTTTTACCCCTTGTGAATCGGTCTTAAATAGAATATATTATTATAATGTACGCCTAGATTATATTGTATAGTGTAACGAATATAGCGTTTGTTCGGCGCTCCAGTGAAACCACTACTTCATATACTAAACCAACAACCGACGTCAGCGCATTAAAAATATTTTCTTTGCTATTTGTCGTTTTTGGAGTCCCACGACGAGTCTGACCGGTTTTCGGGAGTAACAACCGAGAAAAATTGAACTTGATTTGGTTGGTTTGGTCGAAAGTTGTTTGTTGCAAGTCCAGTGCGTTAAAACTGAATATTAATATAACGATAATAGTGTAATGAATAAGAAACGCTGCTCTTATTTATTTAGCGACAACGGGTTTCGATACACGCCAATTAAGAAAAGCGGTTCAACTATGATAAACATCCAAGCGGTCTTCGCGTTGTTCCATCTATATTTTCGTTTATTATTCTTGTTGGCTGTTCTTGTGAGCAAATTTACATTTTTATCTGTGCAAAGGTTATGCACCGGAAACCCGACAAACGTCTCCTACAAAGGCTTCATATTTTCCAACTCTGTGAATGTGTCTGGCGTAAATTTGGGGGTTTCTTTTTATTTTCAAACCAGCTCGAAGCTGTCGATTTGCATACCGATTGTTGGGCGCACACGTGCGTGTTTGGACGCTATTGAAATGCATATAACTTATAAGTACCAGATAAATATTATAATATTGAACGTTAGTGTAAAGGTGTTGGCTGGCGGTGGCGGCGGCCTTGGAAGACGAGCTCTCCGATAGGAAACCATGGCATAATAATATAGGTATATATCGTAATGGTTGTTGTTTTGCGCGCAACCGCACAGACGCGCCCAGCTTTATGCGTGTTGTACTTGTGCAATGGACCGCGTGCATCACACGTGGGGTCTCGACCAAGGCCAGTGTCGGCTATCAAATGCAGTGTATATGTACATGCACATGCACACTTGCATAGCTTCGGCATTACAACAACACGCCGTAACAGTGATCTCATTCCCCGAGGTTTTTACACTGCCATAAATCGGTCGTTGGCTGATATCATCATCATCACAGTGTGTGTGTGTGTGTAGGATGCACGTTTCCCGGTGCGTTAAACTCTTTGTGTGTGATTGTACAAAATACAGGGTGACTCGCTGGTTTGTGCAGACCGAGGTGCATTTTATAATTCCCTTTGCGATGGCCAGTAGAACATTTCCAGAATTTTCAATTATTTTATTCATCCATAACGTTCGTACATATTCGCGTGTTGGTGAATAATTCATTTCCCGTTCCGTCGGGCTTGTCTGTGCAATTTCCTTATTACTTGCCGGCTCTATAAAGGTTAATGGATATTAGACCGGTGTTTTTTTTATTTTCATATACGACCGACCACAGTTCATACCTAGTCATAATAATGTACCGAAGTTAATACACAATATTATATAGTAATCGTAAAGTTTATTTTTTGTTATGTAATGTGTGTGTATAATATAATATCCCAACGTTTTTGTATACTATTTAACAGGTTAATATATAAATTTTTTTTAAAAAAATACCAAGTACAAAAAAGTCGTTTAAAATAAACAATAAGTGTACGGAAAGATTACCACGAGTTATAACAATAATAGTGCATAATATTAGTCGTTAATACTAAACGACCCATGAATAATACAACGGTTAAGATGGAGAAATTTCAATGGATAAACCCCGACCATCATAGCATAGCGGTTGACGACCAAAAGCAACCAGTGCTTAACGAAAACGGCGATTTGATCGTCTTGGACAACGAAAGTGAGTTAAAAAAACTATCGATAACCCGTCAAGAAATCTATCTCTCGGGGTCTTATCGGAGGCGGCGACAATTTAAAATTAACAAACCACCGTCTTGATTGGTCTGATGATGTGTTTTTATGTTATGCAAAACGCACAGCACGAGGAAAGACATTGAACATTTCAGTCATACTAATTACAGAAATAGAAGGAAAATAGATTGAGGAAAAACTATGTCGAGAATCGATAATTGTGTATTATCTGTGTGAGAGGTGCGATTGTGTGGGAGACTCCAGGGGGACCAACCCCAAAAAATTGGGGGAAGACATTGTGTGTTGCGGTATTCGAAAACACAATGGCTATAATACTATTATGATTTAATCACACAACTCTGTAATTATAGTACAAATTGAGTTATTTTGTTTTATGTTCGAGGAGCAATCAATAGTAAGCTTCCCTTCCGGCCTTCCGCCCTTGTATCCGCCTCCGGTTAGGCCTGACCGTATCGAGTATTAATAATATTAATATTTTACTACCGTCCGCGACGGTTTAACTCGAATTTCCAGGTGGAAAGTGTATCGCTGTGCCGAATTCGGACGACGTGCTGGAAATTTTCGGTTTTGGATATTCCACAGGTTACGGGTCGCCCTCGGGATCGCCCAAAGATTCGCCGGACCGCGACTTGAAACCCATCGTCCAAGTAGTCACAGGTAAAAACCAAACATCACAAAAAAAAAAAATCCACCGGGTGTGTGTTATACAAGTGTTTGGTTTGTTTCATAATGCCATGCAAAATTTCTATCTAGATACGACCAACTTATTGTAATATTACAACCGACTCTTGCTGGGTTTCACAAAACTTTATTATGGTTCAATTAACGGCGGGGACCATAAGGTTTCGTGTGCAACTCGGCACATGATGAATATATTTTATCAACAACACAGATCAATCTGAGTTGGCCGCACTAAAATATGTATAGTTGCTGCTTTAACCATAATTATACTCGGACCAACTATGTATTTTTTTCCATGTGTGGCTTATAATTATCAGTTTTATATAATGTAATTTGTATGTGAAAAATCGACCTTGGTCCGTATCGACCGTTGCCCGTTGCACGACAACGCCAAAACGGCATTAATAATGCATTCGAACGACGGTGTGTGCAACATATATTATATTATAAAAAAAAATATTACTACTAATTAATCGACCCCTAAGCCGCCGCCATTGTGCGTCGTTGCAGTAAAACGCAGCAGAGCGCTATTGAAAATGCACACACACAATCTAATCGTTCTCTCGTTACTAACCTAACCCAACTGAATTTGCATTGATAACCGCCGTCGCCTTTTATTGCACTCATTGTAAAGATAAAACAAACAAAAAATTGGTTCGCAGTTGTCGTTATAGCCATTGTGTGTGCGTTTAATTTAAATAATCGGCTGCCATTGGCATTGGTCGTTTTTAGATATCCGTTCGCGCGATGACCGTTTGGATATTATGTAACCGTTTTTTTTACTATAAAACTACTTTTTTATTTAAATTTAAATGCGCGTTTACCGTCGAGATTTATCTTAACCACATGCATATATTATAATTTAATAAAACAAAAATTTACGCGCAAACGACCATTTCTTACCGTAGTATATAATATGTGGAATTATTATTATCTAATTAGAAGCGTTCTCGTTTAATGACGAGAGAGACTTTGACTATAATACGCCATTAGTGTAGTAGTCCCACACGACTATTAATTAGAGACGGTTATTAATTAATTTTTTTTTCCTCTTCGTTTTCGGATTGCATATTTTATATTTATTTCCCCGCCTGGCATTCATCATGTTATCTATTCCGCGACGATTGAATCGTTCGAAACGGCTTCAAGAAATCCGCGTTGCGCAACATAACACTATGAGACCTCGAAAGGCACCGGTGTTTACATTATTTAAATTATCGATAGTTCTAATAATTGTTATTAACTTTGGTCGTGTTGTGTAACCGACGCGTCCGCCTGATTATTATTGACCTTAACCGTTTTTTTAAGTACACCAATGACTGCGCGCGATAATAAACCACGCGGCCAAACGTCAGATAACAAAAGTATTCATTAAAAAAAATAAGAAGAGGGTATAAGACAGAAATCTAATGTGATGGGCTTTCTGTAGATGAATACAGAAGCAGGCCCCGGACACTGATAAAAATTAACATTAGGAAGATACTTATCACATAAAAACGCGACGGCCATAGTCTAAGAGCGTCGCAGTGTGACCATTTTTGTAAAACTAAAAGTAGAGTATAATTTTTATTCAAAAGTCAAAACAATAATTGATTTAATGACTAAAAAAATTGCTTAAAGAGGTTTTACTATGTATTAGTAATTAAAAAATTTAAGTTATAAGTTATAACTAATTTAAACAAATATATTTTATAAAATACAAACCGTAATATCAATATTTTCCACTGAGAGTACTAAATAGATAATAAAAGGTAAGGGTACGGTCATTGTGTGCCCTTTCAACATGGCCGTCACGTTTTTGTTAGCCTTTTAAAGTGATACTTCTGATTTTATCTATTCTGTAGATATAGATAACAAATTACAGTCCCCTCCTCTCCCCTCTTCGGTTCTGTAATTAAGTCTGACATTATGAAACATAACGGAACACTTAAAAACAACGTGCTTGTATTTTGTAATATTTTTTTTGTTGTTGACACAACTGTTGTTATGTGGAACGACAGACGCCGACACGCTGTTGTGGAGCATGAGGACGCCGTGCCAGAAAGACATCGAGGCCACCAGGGAAATGCTGGCGCTGGTGGCGTCCAAAAAGTACCAGGACATGTTTAACGACCAGTGCACGGTCAAGATACGCGTGTGGAAGCGCATATGCGAGGAGCTGATGAACAAGGGCTACCGGATCGCGGACTCGGTGAACGAGGGCGGCATCAAGTGCCACCAGAAGTGGCGCAACCTGGAGAAATCGTACCGCAACTACCTGATCAGCTCGACCGACCTGAACAGCTCGGCGCCCAAGAAGCCGCCGCCGTACTTCGAAGCGCTGCACGAGATACTGAAAAAGAAAAAGAAGTACGCCAACGCAGCGTCTTACTCGTACTCGCAGACGGTGGTGGTGGGCGACGAGATGATCGGCGACCCGGACGCCAGCGGCGGACACCTCAACGACACGGACGTGATGGATGACATGGACGACATGGACGGCCAGAACGACGACCACTGTTACGTGGTCAACAGCTCGGGGCACGTATCCAAGCGGCTCAAGATGGACCCGCTGGCCGTGTGCTCGACGTCGGGCGGCTCGGGCTCCGGTGGCGGTGGCGGTGGCGCCGGCAACAGCAGCGGCCCGCGCGTCAAGCACCAGCAGCCCGACGTGCTCGAGCAGATCCTGGAGCAAATGGTGCGCGTCCACCGGGACACGATGGCCATGCAAGAACGGCATTTCAACCGGCTGGAAAGGCTGATGAAAGAGAACGCGATCCAGAGCAAACGGCTGGCCGACGTCCTGGGTCGTCTGACGCACAACAGGGACGACAAGCAACACGACAAGTCGGCCGCCACCAATTCGGACGTCGAATAAAACAGCATTACCGCAAAACGACACTATTTACTTTAATTCCATTTTTTTTGCTTTTTACATCTGACTTTAATTAAAAACAGACTTTTTTTTTAAATATTATATTTATATTTATGATAACAATACTATAAACAGTTTTTTTAAAAATCTCATATTTTGTAAGTAGTACAATATAGGTACATAAATATATATATTTTAAATGTATTGTATAATAATTCTCCTCTCGTGTATTGACATTACGCGCATTTATATTATATACATACATTATGTAAAATATTACATAATTATATTCTTAACCGCCGCCGGTTTTCAAGTCTACGGTAGGTAACGTGTTTCGAATAAAAATAATATTATAAGTATAAGTTTGTACAAAAAAATTATAAATATATAAAAAAAAAAAAATGTAAAAAACATCAATAAAAAATGACAAGTTATTATGTTACACGGTTTTTATCTCGGCCGCGTTTATATATATATATACATGTGTGTGTGTTTAATAATATTTTTTATTTTTATTAAATGAAATCTATTTAAAAAAGTCACACCGGGGGAACGGCTCAAAGGAAGTCTAGAGGTAAAACGACACAAGAGGAAGAAGGCTTTGCATGGGCGTCGTGGTGTAATGCTCTGTGTGTGTGTGTATATTTAAAAAAAAACACAATTTAATTATATTGCCGTCGTTTAAGGTCGATAAAAAAAAATTAATAATACTATAAGCGCGATGGCAGTTGCAGGGGAAAGAGAAAGGGGGGGCGAGTTTTTTCAGTTTAGCGCATGTGTTTTTTTAATTTTTTTTTCAATGTTATACTTACTATTGTGTGAGTGTGTGTGTCCCCATCATGTCTTTGCATGTGCGTGTGTGTCTACAGAGCAAAGGGGAATCGAACATAATATACACAGTGCACGGTTTTTGTTGCCACCATAACCTAGGGCAAGGTTGAACGGCTTGTCCCTGCACACATAAAATAATTGTTCTGTATATATATACTCTGCCCGAAGGTCCATGACCCGCAAACGTCGTTAAGAAAATAAAATAAAAAACTAGTCGAAACCGTTCAAGTGCACAACCGCCGCCTTAGCTGTGTGTGTAAATGTGTGGTGGTGCACATGCTACGTGCATTTTTTCTTCTTTTTTTTTAATCGCCATATAAACCAGAGTATACAAATTTATATGATTTTTAAGTATCATTTATTTTTTAAGAAACAATGTAAAAAACAATATGTGTGGATGATAAAAAAAAACCTCCATTTCGAGAACTTGAGGGCTTTTTTTTTATGATAAATCTATTTTTTTATAATGTTTGTACGGATTATATTTGAACAAAATAATTGTGACTTTTTGGGTCTACGTTAAGTTGATGATAATCGATTTCAACCCCTGTCGACTGTGGCAGACGTTGACCGGTGATTTTTTTGTTTTAGTTCTATTCTAAAAACTTTTTGAGGAGTTTCTATAGTGTAATAAAAACGCCCAATGGAATATTCTTACATGTATATATACTGCTGTTTAATATAATGAATCTTTGGACCGTCTTTGTTGCGTTTGTGATTTAATTGAATTTTACAAAATAATAATAATAATATGGTCAACTATTAAACGGTAAATGTGATGAATGTGATTATAGAAGTAAAACGACCGTTGACGTCCGGCCTTTGGATTTCACATTGTTTTTCTTCCTTTTGTGACACGCACAAAGTTCAAAGGGTCAAACCCGTTGCGAGACGATGAAATTCAGTAAAATACTTATATACTAGAAACGGTTATAACGATTTTTGTTTGACGCGCGGCCTATACTATATTATATTGTTGTACTACAGTAGGTACTTGCAAGTAAAACTAAAAAAAAAATATATAAAAAATTGGTCATTTATTATAATAATTAGTATATATTATATGGTGCCCCTGTGGTTCCGGGATTAGAATAGGTACACAGTTACTCCTGATTATCGTAAAAGGCGATTAAAAGGAGGTAACGGAGGGATTTCTGTAGCAGAAATAACGGTAATGGAAGAACATGGTAGAGGCAGCTTGGAAATACTTCAAGTACTGGCTCACCAACTGCGATGCAGCAAGCAAGAGGGAAACTACTACCTTAGAGATCCCTAACCTAAATAGCCAATGATGTGTCCCATGACAGACACATATGGCTAACTCGACAAGGCGTTACCTTTAGAACATGATGATGATGATGATATTATATGGCCAGCAACTACTTGGACAGTTGGGTCTTATTTTAAAAGTAAGAAAAGGACACTGATTTTTTTCTTGTCTTGTCTTTGATTTGTACACAACCATAGAATATTATTTGATATTTTATTCCACTTTTTTCTTGGCCCTCTGTCAGACCTTCTTCGTTGTGTATTTTGTCACTTTTTTTTATTATTTTTTCTGTTAATGTATTTTCGCAGAGCCGTCAAAATTTAATTTTCTATTTATATACAATTATTAGTGCGACCTTGTTTGTTCTTTCGGCCGAGCAGCAATTCTTATTGTGAACATAAGGAGGAAAACTTCTCAGAAGAATGCTGACTTACAAACTTACTTATATTCTTTCTTAATAGTGTTGTGGCGCGCGTGGGATTGTTGTTTTCAAACGACCGACATTATCATAATATTGGCTTTTTTATTTATTTTTTTAAGCTTAAGTACTCCACCACGATGACTGGCCATGGGCCCAAGTACGCGTTGGTAGGGGGGGAGGTTATTTCTCCTATATTACAATATCGATAAACTGCTAATGAAAAATGTGTAATGGTGTCGAAATTAAGTCTTGATTGCCATTATTAACTATTGTTGTTGACGTTTGACACTGAATTCCTTTCTGTAAGCCAATAATGAGTTTCAGAACATATAACATCACATTAGCTTCCAAAGTCTGGCCTAGGCTATAAAAAACGTCCAACAACGTGTCTTTGCTAAATTGAATTTCGTCGGAATTAATGTGCATAATAAAAATAAAAAAATGCCAAGTAAAACAGGTTCTCCCTGGCAACGTTTTCGCATTGCTACAACTGGCAAGGTAGAGTTAATAGCAAAAATACAATTTTTTTTAACTCTAAAAAAAAATTTGTAAACACTTTCACAAGCAGACATAAATAATAATTCCAGTTTTGAGGTAACGTGGATTGTGAATACAAACCACATCATTGATCATAAGGATTTTAGAATACTTAATTTATTTGTTGTTATGTTTTTCTAATAAATTTTAAGTAAAATTCTAATAAATATCCATTGCCAAGTATAGAAATCTGGTCCGCCGGTCAAAAATAACACACCCACATATTTTTTTTTTAATACATTGCTTATACTTCGGTTCTGCGCGCCCGAAAGGACTATCAAAACTTTGGAACCACCTGTCGGATTTCACATTTAAGCCTCTAGTATTTTATATATATATATAAAACATTTAACGTCCGGTTGTTAAGTATGCGCTGTCGATGCAGATTACACGTTTTCTTATAAACTCAACAACACGGTGCTACTTACCTAGACCCTAGTTGGCTTGTTATTATTTTTTACATTTTCAAAACGCCTTAACCATGTGCTGTGCGGCCCATGCCCCCATATCCTACTGCTTATTATACTGTTATTATTACTGAAAATAATAATAATAAAACAACCAGATAGAAGAATGTGCATCGTTTTTTTCATTGCGCTTCGGGATGGTGTTTGGCTTTTTTTAGCTTTGTATTTTTTATACATACAATTTTTTTTACTCGTTTTCATCGTGTGTGTATTATCTGATTTGAAAAACCTGTTTTTTTTAAGATGGGAAACTTATACTTGCACGCTTGTCCTCTCTCTGCCACCCCACCCCCTCGTGCTCGGTGCATTTCTTTTCTTATTATATTATTGTTTCTCAGACTAAACGAGATCTCCTCTGATCTCGGCCAATGTTTTTCTGCTCGGGGGTGCGTTGTTGGAGTAAATTAAATAAAGTATATTATATTTTTGTCCACACACAATTTCCTACTTCTTTTGGCCGCAGTGATTTGCTTGCTGCTGCTTTTGGTAATGACCTCGACCATATCGTCGTTCGCTTCGTTAGCTTAATGACCCTCGCGTGTGTGTGTGACGTTGGTAAAATTATTTCATAATAATAATAATATTGTAATCATCACACACACAACTGCAGCCGACGGTCGTCACATTAATAATAATAATAGTTAACAGACCGCCGTGGACCTCGGTCTACATCCATTTATTTTTTTATGCACATTTTAAAGTGAAAGTGAGTCTAGTGATGTCTAGACCGTCTCCTCCGAACCAAACACACTTATATGTATACTAACCGAGTGTTAATTTGCTTTACCAGAATATATAAATTGTACAGTCTGCATAATGATGACAATAATGTACAATTTGTGCGCCAATATTGAGGAGACGAGCGAAAATTAAAACGTTCCCTCAATTAAAAAAAAAAAACTATTATTTTTAATTGTGTAAAATAATGTGTTGACACGGTTTGAAAAAATTCAGCCAAGCTATATATGTGTGTATAAAAAATGACTTAAAGCGCGTGCTTAGCTTTTATATGAGAATACACATATAATATTTTTATACGTCTGAAAGAGGTTAATATTATTCGGTTTTATTAACATTAGCCCGTGCCCGGTAGCGTTTTGTCGGGATTAAAATATATACGGTCGGTTTATGTTTATTTTGTATTATTATTTCCATCTGTTTGCACGTAAAAACCGTGTGCACTGCTGTTAGACAAAAAACAAACACAAATTCACACGTTTCAGTTAAGTATGGACACCTTTAGTTTAGCTTTACCGACACCTCCTAATAGTAGCCGGAAAGAACGTCATTAGAGGGTTCGAGTAATGTGTTTTAGTGCCCATTTTTGTATTAAACGCCATTTGTGTATGTATTATGTGGTTGTGATGATATTACTTTGTTTTTTTATTTTCAAACGCCGCACACTTGTCTTTTAGATACTTAACAACTTTTGTATATAATATCTTGTATACAACTCATAATCGGTACAACTATACTGCCTGTACATTGTTCCAAAATATCTAGAGCTGGGTGGGCTAGGCTTAGCTATAAAGCGAATCTTGAACAATTTGGACCGTTCGAAATTGTTACTAGGTGACTGTGTCAGAGTTTGGATTAATGGGTAAATTAATAGCAAAATTGAAACGGTCAAGGCATGGCATTAGTGTGTACTTAAACGGAAAATTGAAGTTTACACTCGATGGCACAATGTTGGATCAACCAAGTGGTAGTATTCTAATTGAGTTGGGCTTGGTGTACACCACCGTGTGTATGACGTGTGCGGTGTATGTCTTGGCAAGTGTGTATTTTTTTGTGTCAAAAACTAGAATACCTACCGTGTAACGCAGAAAAACGAGTTTTGGTTTTATTTTACCACCAAAACGGCTTTGACAACGTGTCCGCCATGTTAGTTTTGAATAAATTAAA